TATGACCAAAAGAAAAAGCTCGTTGGCAATATTTATTGAATTGATGTTTCTTATCAGATTAACCAATGAACAATGTCAACAATTATCTTGTATATTAGTTTTATTTATTTAAGCTAAATAAAATGAAATGGATTACACCTGATTTTATAGATTAGGCCACGGTATGATTGTGATCATGTTTAACACTTATCCGACGAACACCTTTTAATAATTGTTCACTTAGAAGCAAATTCACGAGTAGAATTTGAAAATCCAAATCGGATTATTCTTTACCAGTTGTAAACAAGCATAAACACGATCCCAAACGTTTATAGGATGAAAAGAACAAACAAAAATACAGCAATATTCATTCAAATCTTGATTGTGAAAATTTTAGCGATTATTTTAGTAATAGGCCTATATAGGAACAAACATTTTAAACGCAATTAAAGAAGACACAACAGAATGAAAATACCAAAATTGTATTCACACACTAAATTTTACGACACTCGTAACTTGTAAAAAAAAAATGTTCATGCTTACCTTAAAATAGTAACCTTGATGTTCATAGTTTCGATACTATGCTATAAACTTGCATCACGCATATCGCGAAATCTCTATGACAGTCATTTTGCATGCGCGAAGGCCCCTACTGTACTCTCGGAACAAGGGCCCCCCACAGCCTACGCAACTGCATCTAGCTGCCTAAAAACGGAGCCGAATGTAGGGTTAATCTTCAAAGTAATACAATTTTATGGGTTTTTTAAATATTAATCAAAATCTTATTTCCTAGTATTTAAGACTGAATTAAATCATACTAACATTTAGTATGTTAGTAAATTTGCATGTTACGGACGATACTCACATAAGACGAACATGATTTCAAAAATCTAATATTTTTATGTCATGCGTATAAGGCAACCCCCGTGTTTCGATCTTAATTTACTATTATTTAATCCTCGTTTCTGTTTCTGTTTATTGGTTGTTTACACAATTGAAATAAATTATACAATATAATGAGAAAAATAAGGTAAAGTATTATCATTATCTTAAATAATAGACAGCAATAATCATTAAATAAGGTAAAGTATTGGTATGGAAGGAAGTCATAATAAGTTATAAAAACCTTAAGGCATAACCACCAGACAGTCGCATGCGACATAGTAAGCCTAATATTATTTATATACATAGGCCTATACTGTACACGCATAACATACATGTTATACATACACACACACACACACACACACGCAAACCTACACACCTCCACACACGCACACCCACACACACACACACACACACGCGCGCGCACACACCCACACCAATAAACATACACATATATACACACACGAACACATAAGCATCATACGAAAAAAGAAAAAAAAAATAAGTAAAGTAAAAAACAAAACAGGATAGAAGAAACAAAGAAAAAAAAGGGAGGGAAGGGTGCACAGGAGATTGAATACCTTACTAATAATAGTAATAATAATAATAATAATAATAAAGAAGCAATGAAAAGACTGTTAGATTAAAGAGAAGGATTTTATACACCATATACCTGAATTAGAATTTTTTTGTAGCAATTTTTTAAGCTAGCCAGAGTTGGTCTACTTTTTTTAAGTCGGGTGAAATATTTTCCCATAGTTTCGGTCCTAAATATAGTATAGAATGTTGTCTAATTTTAGATGTAGCATTTAGCGTAAACATTAGTTGAAGAAAAACGGGTATAATGAGAATGCAAGTCAGAAAGTTTGGTGAAAAGAGACATGGTATAATTAGGAAGGGCATTTTTGAATTAAAGAATACATAAATGTAGCAGTTTGTAACTTATTGCTATCAACAGGACTCAGAATTGAAAGAAATAAGAGTTGATAGGTCAGGACGATTAGGCCCCTGTGTTTTGTTGGATTCTCTGATTCAGATATATGGCAACCCCTCCACCTTGTCGTACGGACCCAGAGGAATGCAAAAGCTTATAACCATTTATATTATAAAAATTAAAATTTGTCTTTTTAGAATTGAAAAATGTTTCTGTGAAACTTCATGATCAATTGAAATTGAAAAGTCATTTATTTTATTCAAGTGTTTGACAAGACTCACGGGAATTTAAATGGCCTCGTCTTATGTGATAATCATGCAAGTGGGGACTGTCATGCCGCTATTATTTTCTTGCCGCAGAATTAATAAATCACATAACAAGTTTTTCTAACACTTCGGAGACATGACACAAAATTTATCCAGTCAAAGAAATAATTATCTGTAGGCCTACCAAATTGGGAAAATGTTCGTCATGACGTTTATGAATTAGAACTAGAAGTCATACTAGTTATAAGGGGCGCTGTTCGACACTATTTTGTCTCACAAAACCAAGTTTTAAGGACAAACCATTGTCAATGACATACCCCTTTCCTCCATGTAAATACAAACTACTGTGTTTGTAAAGACAAACCATGGTTTGTAAAAGACATCCGGGTATGTGGTGGTTCTGCCATGATTATAACTTTTTGTTTATTTCCGCCTGTTGTAATAGAAGATAAGGATTCGATATTTCAATGGGCACTGGGTGTGGCTGCATTTTCCAATGCTTTTACTGCACTTGAAGATAAATGGATAGCTTAAATCGTATCTGTTAATATTAAAGCCAGGTACCAGTTTGAGAAGTATTTACATCGAGTAGAACACTTCTCCAGATGGGGAAGAAGAATGGGTCTGGGTGGTGGATGTTAACATAGTACATTCATCTTATTTATTATTTATGGTATAAAGTCAACTTCCAAGTCCAACTGAAGATTATAACTAGGCAAATCCAATACTAACTAACTAATTTTTATTTCAATTCAATTCTGCTCACAGGATAAAATATACGGTACAATATTAAGCAAGGTGGAGAAATCAGGAAGTACCCAGTGGCGCATCTAGGGGGTGCACGGGGGACGACCCCAGCTCTCAAAAAAGCTTGCGCACCGGTCACCCAATTGAAATGTCAGAAGCAAAAAAATCACGCTCAAGTTGGTAAAAATCACCCCATATCACCTTATTTTGCGACCGCACGCTTTACTTAATCATCATGCCCTCCCACCCCACTCCTTCAGCATTCCCATTTCGATACACCACTGGAAGTACACATCAAGAACAAAACATAATATCGATTAATTCAACAAAAGAAATGAATAAACACCCCATTTCCAGTCACCCCACCCCCTCCCCCAGCATCCCCATCAACAAAAGAAATGAATACGGTAACAATCCTGATTATTATACCGGTAATATTATTCCTTTCCATGTACAGTTTTAAATTGAATAACCAACTGGTAATCAATTTAAGTATTTTTGTAGTCCCGTAAATTACTAAAGGTAGAAATGTGGTTGCACCCCCTTCCCCCAGTTTATATTCAAAAATCTGTATCTCATTATTCGTTTCCGAGTTTTTCGTCAAACACCTTTCTTGTGTTTTAGAAAAATCAGCATTGTGAAAAATAAATTTTCCTCCGGAGCCGGGCTTTAAAGGCTTGTATTGTTATTGTAGCATTTATGTGTTTAGATTGTCGTTATGGTGCTGCTGCTGTTGTCATCATCATTCACACAGCATGAATCCTTCACTTGCTGCAGATGCTATTAATAGATCAGAGAACCATGATCCGTGACTAGGCTAAAATGAGAGATAATAGCGATAAAGAACGGGACAAACGCGTTAAGCCCTTATTACAAAAAAATAAAATCAAAATCATCCACCTAAAGTTGAATGGCATGCGTGCCTATAGTATTACCATTATTTTAGAAGTAAAATGACTGCTCCTTGATATCAGACAAACAGCATCGACTAATACGGTAACCTACTAAAATACTATATCATACTATTATCATACCTGCACTCAACGCCAGTTTCAGTAAAGGATGATTCATACGCGCGTGCACTATGAAGTCATGGATGACGTCATATGTGAGCATATGTCCTGGTCGAAAATTGTATGGCAAGCTGCAGGATATCATCAGGATGGCGTCTGTGTGTAAAAGAGTTAGACAGTATACCGTGGTTATATGGGTCTGATAGGCCTATGTGATATATCATATAGGGGGGTCCGAACCAAGGGGCTGATTAGCCTCGGCCCGGGTCTCAGAATAAAAAATCCCTGGTAGTGGTCACGGGGAGAATTTTTATGGCTTAGTTTGGCAAAATTGTGCATTAGGCCACAATATTAGGAATTGGCAATACAGAAAGAGGAGAATTCCCCAGTTGGCGCAACCACCGATCGCACCCCCAGGTACGGATGGGCCCGGGATACGTAAACGTCCATGGATTAACAGTCCTAGCAATTTTTAATTACGTCCCATAACGCTGTCGTTCTACACTACACTGTAGCACATACAGTATGTATGATACTTGCAATCCAACACAAGGATTGCATCAGAAAAAACAAAACGTTACTATTTCATGATTAAACCAAAATGCATGCATTGGAGTTCCATTCATGATTATGCAGTCATGATTTTTCGAATAAGACATAATACGATGCTTGCTAATAAGGCCAAGCTTAGCAACAATCAAATAATGATAACTTTAGAAATCGCGATTCAAATGTTATATTGCCTTTACAAAGAGTAAGAGTTTTTTTAATTAAAAATTTTTTTTTTTAAAAACCAAAAAAAAAAACAAAACAAAACGAAGTTAATCTTGTAAAGGAGCATTAGAATGGAATAATCTTGGCTAAGATTATAAAATGCAGCACTTGTTCATTTAAGCATAAGATTAATACTTTTGATTTATTTTTGCAATTTATACTGAACTTTTGTCATTTTGTATTCTTTTGTGTTGTATTTAAGTGCACGGCTCTACTGAATAACAACCCTGTATTGATCTGGACCTCAGTGGTTAAAGTTGAACTTGAAAACATTTTAGCCCGCATTTTAGTTCCCGGAAGGTGTTTTTTTTTAAATATTAAAATACTGCCCATGTACCTCCGTATCGACAGAGGGTGCCCTTTATTTTTCGTGAAGAGAGCGCTCGAGCTAGTAGCGCAACGTTGTTTTGTCGTTCATTAGTTGAGTAGGGATGAGTGGGTAGGGAACTAGACCTGCAAGTTGCTAGAAGTTGGAGGAAGTACTGTAGATGAACTCATTCGACATTTTTTGCCGTATTAGAATTAGAATTCCTGAAATCATTATTTACTTCATGTGATATCGTATTTATTTATTCGTACTGTAACTGTTATCTAACTTTAATAATTTATCCAGGCCACATGATCACTTCCATTGGAATGTTGTTGGTGTCTGCCTAGAGGACTGCACTAACGATCCCCATCCAACTGATAGGTCATTACATTATACAGTAGACGATTTTGCCTCTAGGCCTAGGCCTAGTCTATAACAACAGTACGATATTTTCATCTTCAGTTGGTCGTAACCCAAATCAAGAGGTGGCAAGAAGAGAGTTAATAAGAATCATACTGACAGTGACACTCAAGTGGTTTTTTTTTATAAGTTGGATGGATTTTTACCAAATACCAGATTTTACCAAAGATTGTGCAACAATTTGATGTGGTGAGATTATAAATAATTGTTAGGCCTACCCACTATGGCAGTCCTAATACTATAGGCCTAGACCTATTCTAGGGCCTGAAAAGGCCATTGTCGATTTTGATTAAATTTATTTTATTTGTGTGATAAGTTAAGCCAAGTTGACCACCACCACTATGTCTATCAATGTATATTCTCGTTTGTAAGTTTGGGAACCAGAACAGAAAAAAATGGATAAGACTAGTACTGCTTCTACTAGCGGAAAAAGGACATTGATCTCCTTGGATATTATAAGTAATGAAGATGATGATAGAAAAAAGCAGAAAATAAATCTTATAAAACCTTCGACAATTTCTGACCTCAAAGATGACATTAGTCTGAGTACTACTTCTAGTGACAAACAGACAATTGGCAATCTATTTCTTAATTTACCAGATGAAATTATGGTTTGTAATGTTTTACCTCTATTGGACATCATGGAAGTTTGCATTTGTAAAGCTGTCTGCAGGCGATGGAGAGGTTTGGTTCATGCATACTTCTCTCAACTAAAAGAACTTGATCTTAGCCCATGGAATTTTTTGATATATGAAGAGCATTTGATAGCAATAGTACGACATCTACGCAGCCTCAAATATTTAAGGTTTGTCATGGATATAATCCCTATCATCACACTAAACTATTTGATTCTCGTAGATTTTGTACATTATATAGTAAATTCCATGATTTGTGGAAGCAGTTAGCTCGCATTGCCAACCTTGAGGTCGGGGGTTCAAAACCTTAGCTGTACAAGCCACTTGTGTCTTTGGCATTGTATCTACATCTCTCTACTCAGTAGTGGGTACCTGGTAGGGTCTATTGTAATACTAATTGCCATTTTTCCATAGATGCCAAAGAGCTTAGCCCCTGGGCCCCCAACAGGGCTTTGCCACAGTGGCGTAATGCCTATGCGCTCTCATGCGGCGGTCTGCAGGGCCCCCTACCTATAGTGTCATCGATCTTGCACTTTGACCCAAAAGGACTTTGTTAATACATAACAGCATAATGCATTTCTGATTTCGACTGTAAGACACATCATATATATCCAGTGGTGGATTAAAGGCCTGGAACTCCCTAAAGTTTGTCTAATTATTTTTTTAATTATTAAAAAGAAATTATACTCAAATTTTAAGTCTATGAGCGCCATTTCTGGAAAATCCCAGAATGGGTGAACAGGATACCTAAAGGGCCCCGACCCCATCGTTATACCACTGCTTTGCCCAACGGCGGCAGAACGTTTTTGAAAGTGGGGGGGGGGGCCATTTCATAAGGTCCAGAATGCGAGCGAAGCGAGCATCTAGGCTGGGGGGCCAGGGGCTGCCAAGGGCCCCCAGTGGGGGTCAAGGGGGTCTAGGCTGGGTGCTCCAGGATGCCTATAAAAGTTATTTTATAGGCATCAAGCTACTGTAATATGATTAAATATTTGTTGTAATTTAGTGGCCGATCCAGGAAGTCGAAATAGAAGGGCCCAGGGAGGGTGCTTTCACAGATAGAAGATTTATACTACCTCAGCCCCACCATGGTTGGGTAAGAAAATTTGTGATTATGGCACCTCTAGATTGCCAGAAATTGCACTTCCAGACATAAAATTTGAATATAATTATCTTTATATCTCCATTAATTTAACAATTTAAGGGGGTAGGGGTGGGCAGGCTGGGTCCCCTTGAAGAATAAAGTGCCTACTGAAGAAAGACAAGAAAAAGATTGTCATCCGGTCAACATCCGACCTCCGTAACCTGTAATATGACAGTACTGATCAATATCCATCAATGGTTATCATTATCATACCATAATTATTATTAATTTTCATTTTAATTATCTTGTGTCCTATCACCATGATTGAATGATGACTCTTTTCTTCATATTCTGATTATTATGTTGTTACTTTTGTATCTGCAATGTCGTTACATTCCATTTATTATTAATACTTTTTATCAATACAGTAATAATATTATTAGTAAGCCTATATTATTATTATTAATGTTGTTATTATTATACTTATTATAGTGATGATAAAAGATAATGATTGTTGCTATTATTATTATTTTATCTATTCTATTATAATTATTTTATTATTATTATTATTATTATTATTACTGTTACATTATACTGTTTCTACTGCTTTTGTTTAATGCTTATCATGACCCATATTACATCGTATCCTTTTACAATTATGTTACTGCCATTATCTGCCAAATTTTTAATTGTTATGTTGTATCTAATTTCACAATTTTGATGCTTTAATCATTTATCTTTTTTATCTTGATTATCATTGTTATTATTATTCTTATTATTATTATTATTATTATTATTATTATTATTATTACTGTTACATTATACTGTTTCTACTGTTTTTGTTTAATGCCTATCATGACTCGCATTACATCGTATCCCTTTTCAATTATGCTATTGCCATTCAGCCACTTTTAATTGTCATGTTGTATCTTATTGCATGATTATGGTGCTTTAATCATTTATCTTTCTTATCTTGATTTTATAATGTTAGTATATACAATATCGATATCTTGCACTTTTGATACTTATGTTTGTATCATGCATTATTATTATTATTATTATTATTATTACTAGTACTGTATACTGTTACTACTGCTTTTGTTTAATGCTTACTATGATCCGTTATTAGGCCTGCATCGTATCCTTTTACAATTATGCTATTGCAATTTTAATTGTCATGTTGTATCTAATTCCATGACTATGATGCTTTAATCATTCACCTTTTTTACCCTGATTTTTATAATGTATGTGTATTCAATATGGTATCTTGCATCTTTGATACTTATTTCTGTATCATGCATTATTATTATTATCATTATCATTATCATTATCATTATTATTATTATTATTATTATTATTATTATTATTATTATTACTGTTACATTATACTGTTTCTACTGCTTTTGTTTAATGCTTGTTATGTCCTGTATTACATCGTATCCTTTTCCAATCATGCTATTGCCTTTATCATGATTCTTTAATGTTAGTATATACAATATCGTTATCTTGCGTGTTTGATACTTATTTTTGTATCATGCATTATGATTATTACAATTATTATTACCATTATTACTATTATTATTACTATAATAACTATTATTATTACTGTTTCATTATACTGTTAGTACTTTTGTTTAATGCTTATTATGATCCGTATTACATCGTATACTTTTAAAATTATGCTATTGCAATTTTAATTGATATGTTGCATTTAATTCCATGATTATGATGCTCTAATCACTCACCTTTTTTATCTTGATTTTTATAATGTAAGTATATACAATATCATTAGCTTGCATTTTTGATAATCATATTTATATCTTGCATTATGATGATTATTATTATTATTATTGTTATTGTTGTTATTTTTATTATTGTTTTTATTATTATTATTATTACTACTGTGATTACTGTTACATTGTATAATTACTATTGCTTTTGTTTTAATGCTTATTAAGACCTGTATTACATACAACGTGGTAAGATGTTGGCATTTACAATGTCCTTACCTTGTATTTTGAATGTTAATAATTATCTCTATCTTTTCATTATTTATACGTTTATTATTTACGTTTACGTTTATTTATTATTATAATGTCTATTATGTGATTTATAACACTATTTTTATGCTTCTTGATGCATTTGATTCTCTGTGCTTATTACATGTAGCATTCCATATATTCTTACTATTTATACCGTGCTTCAACCTATGTCTTTCATGTAATCTTCGAGTCTTTTATGTTTTGCGTTTCATTGACCATTAGTAAACAAGGCCTTTCTTACTGACTGCTTCACTGACTAATTTTCCCGTTCCTCTTTGATTGACCTTTCGCTTTTTATTTTATTTTATTTTTTTGTGTGTTCTTGGTTTGTCTTTTGTTTTTGCTTTTATTTTCTGTGTTTTATGTCTGAATTAAATTTTCGACCCAGAGTAAACACTTCGAACACTGACCGACTAGCTGACCAGATTTTTTCCCCCTCTGAAGAGTCTCATGATCAATTTACATCCGAGTTTGACCCCAATTCTCAATTTTTTAATAACCAACTTAGTACTTCCGAATATTATTATCCGAGCCAGTTCTCGTCTTTAGTCAATAATACCAAAAGAAACAGTTTTTCCACAATAGTGACAGACAATTTAGGTTCAGAAAAGGCTACAATACATCCATTGCCCTTACTGACCTCTCCAATAAAATTGTCGATGCATTTGAGAATAGTCAATTTACTATAGGAATTTTTATTGACCTTTCCAAAGCATTTGATACTATTGACTATAACATCCTTTTATATAAACTTTCTCACTATGGTATTCATGGTCCCGCTCTCAATCTTTTTCGAAGTTACCTCTTTAATCGTTCACAATGCACTAAATATCTTAACAATATCTCCAACTTTCGCCAGATTACTTGTGGTGTCCCCAGGGATCCCTATTGGGCCCTCTTCTGTTCCTTTTATATATTAATGATTTTCACTTGTCTTCCAACCTTCTTTCTTTTTTTCTTTATGCTGATGACACCACTATCCTATATTCTAACAAAAATATCCATTCTTTATTCAACATTGTTAACTCTAATTTAATTTCCACTTCCCAATACTTTGCTGCCAACAAACTTTCAATTAATCATGAGAAGTGTAGCTTCATTCTGTTTCGAAGTCCCCAAAAATCACAAACTCTCGATCTTTCGAATTTCAAAATCTATATTGATAATCACGAAATTCCCAATACCGAATTTGCCAAGTTCCTAGGAGTTTATCTTGACAGTGCATTAAATTGGAAAAAACAAATCTCCCAAATTGAAAATAAAGTATCCAAAAGTCTTGGTATCATTTTTAGGTTATCCTCTTTTGTTCCCCGCAACGTTCTTCGTATTCTTTATTGCTCTCTCATTCTCCCCTATCTGAGCTACTGCAACATTGTTTGGGGTAACACCTACTCATCCAACTTAAGCAAACTTCAAATAATTCAAAAGAAGGCTATCAGGATTATATCTGGCGTTCCACCATGGTCTCATTCCTCTTCTTTATTTTCTAATCTCAATTTTCTTAAACTCGCTGACATTAATTCCCTTCACCAAGGTCTTTTTATGTACTCCTCCTACCATGGTCTCTTACCTTGTCACTTCTGTAACACTTTTAAATCCAATTATTCCTTTCACAATTACAGCACACGTAACTGCGCTAATATCCGTATACCCAACCATAGAACCAATTACTTCCAGCACAACATCAGATTTTCGGGCCCCAAACTTTGGAACTCGTTACCCTCACACTTGATGAATGCATCTTCCATTAAAATTTTTACTAACCAATTAAAAAAACTCTTAACTTCTGACTACTAATTGTTAACATTTATTCAATCTCCTCCATCTCCACTTGGTTGCTGCCTTTCGCGCGGTCTGTCTTCGACTTGTTTTGAATGTATTGTTTTTTGTCCCTTTCTGTCCTGTTTTGTCTTTTTGTCTCTTTTGTTAATCTCATTTTTTCCCCTCTTATTTCAGGCTGTCCCTCCACAAGATTGGTTTTTTCTTATCTTCTCGGGTTCTTGCCTTCTTCCTCTCCTGCATTTTCAATTTATTTTAAATCAATTGTAACATATTTGTCTGATTCAAAAAGGAAGTAAATAAATGTTAAATTGAAATTGGAATTGAATCTGCCACAGGGTATTTCAGCAGATGGAGAATCTATACCACCTCAGTCCCACCCATGGTTGGGATAAGAAAATTTGTGATTATGGCACCTCTAGATGGCCAGAATTTACACTCTCAGACTTAAAATTTGAATATAATTTTCCTTATATCTCCATTAAAAAAAAATTGAACAATTTAGCCTCCCCCCCCCCCACTGAACGCGCCACAGATTTCCGAAGAAAGTCGAAGTCGAGATTGCTTCCATGACCTCAATGGATTATGTATCATGAGGGTTATCGAAAACTTAACTTTTCCCCCGATGAATAAAAATTACCCTTTTATGATACTCCAACAGTGGCGGGTCCAGGAAGTCGAAATAGAGGGGTTCCAGGGAGGGTCTTGCGCAAATAGAATGTCCACCCAACAGTTGTGGGGCTGAGGCGAGAAAAAAATATGATTATGGCACCTCAAATGGCCGGAAATGGCACTCTCGGATTAAAAATTGAATACAATTTTGTCTGTTTTCTCCATTTTTTTTTTATTTTGAAAAAAATAGGAGGATAGGGTCCTGTGCTGACTGGGGTTCCCCATTGAATCTGCCACTGTTCAATATAACACTTGACATAGCCTATCATTTTGTTTCACAAATGGTTAAATCCTAATGTCAAGCCAAAGATTTCGAAAGATTTTTTTTTTACTCAATACAGTTTTTACAACCTATAACACATTAAGTGTACTGTAAATTCTGTAGTTAACCTTCAGAGAACTTAATTTTAGAAAATGGCCTAATTATCTTATTGTTTTCGTTAAATTAGATGGAGTTTAAATGTAGGTATATTACGCTAGTTTTTAAGGTTTACTGTAAGTTACACTTACTATACATCTTCGTGGTTAAAGAGAACTAGAACGTCGCTCCATTAAGAGTGTCTCCTCCCCCACCCCCATATGCCTAAATACAGAATTCACGAATGCAGGCGATCTTTTCTTCATGCTCAAGGTTGGGTTTCAAGGAAACTTTACAAACGCATGTATACAGACGTCAATCAACATTTTGTTGCTCAACTCAAAAAGGGAATTTGTAATGTTAGAAAATGAAAAAAAAAAATCTATATTTTATAATAGTAATAATACGTCAATTTATAAGGCGCAAATAAACAAGGTGTAAGCACCAAATTATAATAATAGGCCCAATAATAATACTAATAATAATAATAATAATAATAGTAATAACATTGCGGCGTTCGTAAAATTTTTGTCACTGGTGTTGGGAACAGTCACAAAAGTGGGGGGGGTGGCCAGGCCCCCCCCCCCTTCCGCCGCTGTTGGCTTTGCCTATACAGTCACTTCTTCAGACTGGCCCTCTGCATGTACACCCTAGTGCCAACCCCGGGGGGGGGGGAGGTTTGGGAATGCCTTAGGCGCAAAATAACTGTGGGTGTCTTATCTCCCACGCCCCTTCCAGTCACTATGATGATACTTGGGACTATGATCAATGTCGATTATATTTTTAAAATGGACTACTGCATTAAAAGCATATTTTTCCTCCCCTTAAATTTACCAGACTTGGTGTGTGCTGGAAAGCTGTCACTGAATGTAGTTTGTCTTCAATTGCATCATCATGTCCCAAACTTGAGGTATTCACAGCAAATAGATGCGGTAACGTCACAGATTCAGCAATATCTAAGCTAGTGACAAGGTGCCACAATCTCCAAGAGTTGGACTTGAGCAGTTGTTATAATGTAAGTACTGTATAACGTAAGGAACATGAGTGACAGGCTTGCTTTAAACAGTGCTATCTATTATTATGCTACAAAATTAAATTAGTTTTCTCACACTTCCACTTCCTGGTGGGTTTGTTCTTGTATCTTCCACGGCTATAGTTTCTTTTTCTAAAATACAGTACTTGCTAAATTTTGTTTGAGGTGCCAAGTACCAGCTCTATCTTTTGAGTAGTAGTGGACTGTTAAGTGTTTGAAACACATACCATACCATTGTAACCATTAATTATAATTACCAGTAAATAATTCATTGAGCGCATTTTATGCTGATAGGTCATACCTGTTGTGTGGATTGTGCAGCTGTTTTTAAAAATAAATAATTGTTTTCTCCGAGGTCACTATGGTACAATCTTGTCAATTTCCCATCCTATTGAGTACAATCCAGAAAATTCATATTTGTAATTTTATATAAAACCGGGAAAAAAATGCTTTCACAATATTTTTAGATATTAAATCACAAATAGTAACTTTAGTATGGTGTTACATACATCTCAACTGGTGGTAATTAAAGCGACATTTTTGTTATACCTTGTTTTGCAAACTTATTTTTTTAAAGATTGTCAGAAGAGGGTGCCAGAAAATTAAAATAAACTTTTGATTCTCATTTAGCAAAAATAAAATAAAATTTTCTTGATATTAAAATTAAACAGTGTAGTAATGAGATTCATAAATGCTTTTAAGAGTTTAAATTTATAGAATTAAGGAAGAAATTTTAGGGGGAATGGAGGGCATAATAAAAATAAATATAAATATAAAATTTAATTGTTTTATGAAATAAATATTTTTGCAGTAGAGGGTGCGCTACTGGCAAAAAATGAAATTTTATTTTTATTAAAATTCACCATTATTGGCGGTCGATTGGTTCAACCATTATTGGAGGTCATTTGGTTTGCTAATCAAGGTATAAAAATTTTCGCCTTATTGAGATCAGGATTTGAACCCAAACTGTAATGGGAAGGTCTTAGGTTCGAATCCAGATGAGAACATACTGTATGTTATTCTCACATATTTATTATCACCTTATGGATATGTTAAGAATTACATTTTTCCTCCAGGTAACAGATGTAGCTATTGTTGAAATAGCACGACACTGCAAACATCTTAAGGAACTCTACCTGAGCAGTATCTATAGTGTTACAGGCATTGGTATCAAGGAGCTTGCGCAACATTCAAAATCACTTGAGGAGTTGGATGTCAGCTATTGTTTCACATTAACGAATGAGAGCATGTTGCATTTGCTTCACCTTAAACAATGTGGGTCATTGAAATCACTACGTATAACAGGCTGTTCAAAGGTAGGCTAATTTGCATTTCTATCTTGCCATTTAAGAGGGCCAATCACAACCACTCATTTTTCCAGGAAATGATGGTACAGATAATGTAATAATACTTCTTATGATTCTTAAATGAATTAGATCATTTTTATTCATTAAAATGGTATTTTTTGGCATGTCTAGGCCTTTATATTTGAAAATATTTCAGTTTTATGATCATGATACATACTATTAAGTATATTAAATAATAGATTTTGATTAAAATCTATAAAAAAAAATCAATAGGAAACCATATTTATTTGAATAAATGCCCCCTCCAGAGCCTCATCTGACTAGTGGAAGCAACATCATTCTCAACACATTCGAATGTTGTTCTCAAGCAGAATTACATTTTTTCTAACCTGGTTAGGATCAATAACAGTTATTCTTTTAGGTTCATTCCTATTTTTATCATCATTTATTCATTGTATTTTTTTCTAGTTTATTTTGTAAAATATATTATGGTATTTTCAAATGCACTAAATTTTCTTGTATCTTATATATTGTCAGTAAGCATCAATATGCTAAAAAACCTAGGCCCAAATTTGATGGTCAGAAGGGGAAGCTAAATAACTTTAACAAGACCTAATTTATCTCAAATTCTACAGCAAATTTAATGATTATTTTTAATGAGTCTCTATGAACCATCCGAACATTATTGGTACTAAAAATCCCTTATAGGCAAGAGTGTGAAACGTTCATGTCATAAAATACTGTAAAACGTTAAACAGTATATTTTCATTAGGGGGAAGATAGAGGATTTTATATGCATGGGGAATGGTTGCTGTTTCAGAATGTATTTTTGCAACTTATACTTTCTCATTGGGATTCAATAATTATGCATGAAAATAAAGCCAATATTCAAGCTTTAATAATGTTTAATATTTATCTATGTGGTTTGCATTTTACCAACCAAAATTCATAGGGTGAGTGATGGTAGCCAATGATAGTTATTGTTCTTGGCTAACAGATCACTTTTTTTAACCCAATTATCGATAAAATGATTTAAAATGAAATTTTGAATACTTTTCCATTTAGATATCCGAAGACATTACACTCAAGTTGTTGCAAGCTGGAATAATTGTGAACAATATGTTTTAAGAGCTGCATTTCATCAGCTGGTTGTAGTCACATTGGTTGTCCACCCAATAAGATCAATATTCATGGCATCTTATGTCAATAAACTTGGAGAGAGAAAAGACTATTTACACTATAACATTTGGTATGAAAATATTTATTCTTATATTCATACTACAGTAAACCTGAACATGTCAAAATATATGAGTAATATTTGCACAGATCTAAGGACAAAAACCAGTTGAGTCAAGGCAAAGGTAGAATCTGTGAAGATTATTAAATACTGTATATTTTGTAACACATAAAAATTAAGATTGATTGATAGCTGTTGTTGGAATATAATGAAGCATCATTGTAATAACATGTAGTCAAGTGCTGTTTGTAAATTTAACAGTTTTATCATTTTCATATGTAATTATTTTGCTTTGAATAAACATGAATATTTTACATATCAAATGGTGGTTTCTATAATTGAGTATTTTAAATGTAGTACTGAATACTATTTCACTGGTTCTCAAACTTTTTGGCTTATGACCCAAACAAACGTCCATGCAATTCACAGATCCATATTCGGGATGTTAAAAAAAAAGGTACTCAAAATACTGGGGTGGATGCAAGTGGGGAGGGGTTTAGCCAGAAAAACGATATAGGCTGTCCAAAATGGAAGCCAGTGGGCGTGGCACTGAGCCGATGGGTGGGCCACGCCCACTTGTGGCTAACCCATGAGAATCCCTACCGAATATTGGGTACGAAAACAACAAATGTTGTTTTTAGCAAACGTAATTACGATTTAGCTTTAGTTTAATGTAACATTCGATAGATTTGAAGAATATAAAGAATTTGCTAAAGGTAGACCAGGCCCAATTAGGCTAGGCTGAGCTGATTAGGCCAAGCCATCTCCTTAAAAGTGGCTGTCCTAAATAATTTTAGGCCGTCCAAAAGATAGCCCGACGGCTCGCTGGCTAAGCCTATGGACTGCACACTTCCTTAAATTGTATTAAGAAAAATATTTGTTGTATTGTTGATATGAATTATCAGTAAGATTTTTAAGATACAAGAGTGCAATTTCTGGGCACCTAGAGGTCTATATTTTCAAAATTTTCGCACCTCAGCCCCAACCATGGTGGGAAATTGGTCATTAAAAAATGGTGAACACAACTGAAGTAAAATGTTTAATTAATACTTAGAATGTTTTGTATTTGCTACAGCACATTTTGGCATGATAAAAAATTAAAATAAAAATAATCTCCAACCCTCATATTTATTTGAAAATAGACAGTTTGCGAACCACTGTTGTACTGTATTCCATATTTCTTTATGCATATGACCTTGTTAGTTTTGTTCATACATTCATACTACATATATGTTGGTTTTGCTGAGTGAAAGCAAAGAAATTTAAAACTCCATAATGATGTTTACATCACAAATTTTGTGTTGATCCAACATACATCCTTCTATGCCTTTTGCAGGGGCAGATCCAAAATTGTTTGAAACAAGGGGGCACAGATTTCATATAGGCCCAGATAGTAGGCCTAATACAATTATGTGTGTTGAGTATGCTCTAAAGAAATATTGTAAATTTAATATATGTATCATGGCCTTTCTTTATTCGGAGCAACGTTTGTTCTATGTTATTTAAACATAATCATTGCATCTGTTGGCAATATATGTATGCTACTATATTTTGTACTATTTTTGTTAAAAAATAAAAGATGGCAGCAGCAAACCTAGGAGGGGTAAACTTCCCCTGTAATTGACTGTGATACAGCTCATTCTCAAAAATTTTTGCCAAAAATGCCTTCTGACACTTTAGATTGTACTGTACGTGTGGAATATACAGAACAATGAACATTTAAGAGCCGTCCTTGCTCTGAGAGAAGCATCCTATTTACACTTAAAATCTTAATACTGTAGTAATTATCCTGTTCAGTCACTTATTGCAGCTTTAGGGAGTGCAGTTTGTTTTCAGATTTAGTCATGAGGAACAATAATATTGTCACAACAAATAAACCCAGCACCCTGGAATTGAAAGTTAAGCGTCTTGCCCACCCAGAGGCAACGGATAAAGCTAATGGGCCAGCATAATTCGCATAAAAAATATCTAACAAATATGAAACAATCCAGCAGTAAAAATTTCTACATAGGCCTATGTGTTAACTGTGTGTGTGTGTTAACAGGAATTGAAATTTTGTGGAATTACACCTTTTACCATAAATAGGGCCTTAGTTGTGTGAATGCCACTTTGAGAGAAAGCTTTCTAACACAATTTTTAGTATTCAATATAGTTTAATCAGAATCCAACAATTCATCAACACTATTAGTTAAGTTAATGATTTGAGGCTTCTTGCATATTTAACAACCACTGTCATGATCTTTTGTCAAGATATATTTATACCATTCACTACATCATTTATTATTCTCGTATTCTACAATGGGTCACATGACTGATCAGCAATCTACGGTAATACTGTACACTCACCAGATCCTGCTACATTTTTCAATAATGAATATTGTGAAGTCAAGTATTCTTCACATTATTATCTCTCGACCTGTGATCGTTGGATTACATCTTGAACGCAGTTCCTCATCTTGTTGATAACAAGCCGAGGGTCGTCGCTGCCGACAACAGCACTTCCAGAAACTATCATATTTGCACCAGCCTAGGGAATGGCAGAGAAGGCACAATGAAGGTACATCTTAAAACATAATGGTTTAAATTTGGTGAAGAAAAAAAAAAAACAATGTCTGAAAAGAATGCAAAAAAATGAGACCATATTACTTTGGTATAAAAAAATTATAGCAATGCATGTTAAGTATGCTAGATGGATATTGTAGTACAGTACATATAAATATTAGAAATCTAATCTAAAAATTTTCAGAATACTAAATGGGACAAAAAAAATCCTTGTTATTTTAAATTTTTCAACCTCTATTCATGAACAAGATATTATAAACAATTGCCTTACAGACAGAATCTCATGACTTCAAACTAGAAAGGGCATACCATACTCGCGCAATAAGCATCTATATTTGAATAAGCACCCCATATGAATAAGTGCCCCTCTTGAATATGCACTCCTTGATTCCTTAAAAAAATTAAATCGTACAGTACAGTACATCACAAACTTAATTTTCTTAATCAGTGCTTTGACATATGGCAGTGAAACTTGGCCTATCAATGTTGAGGATGCCCAACGATTATACAGAAATGAAATGTCAATGATCCATTGGATGTGACCTTAAAGGAAAGAAAACCTAGTGAGGAGCTAAGAAGAATTAGTGGAATAACCTCAATTATTCCACTAATTGAGGTTATTCGGTATGTCTTGGGGTCAAATGCAGTGCGCTGAGTAATAACAGTATAGGAAGAGAAAGTTTTCCGATTTTGAAACGCAATGACAACATTAACCCAATGGAAGTGCAATAAAACTGGCTGGGGTGGATGCAGGATTTGGTGGTAGGGGGTGCATGGGAGTCCATACCACCTCAGCCTGACCATAGTTGGGGCTGAGGTGGGAAAACTTTGAGAATATGGACCTCAAGGTGTCCGGAAATTGGACTCTCATATTTAAAAAATCGTATGGGTACTATGTTCATAATGATAAAAATAATATATCAACAATACAACAATTATTAGGGGGTGTGATCGCAACATCTGCACGCCCCCTGCATCTGCCCCAGACTGGCAAGAAAAGGTATTGTTCACTCCTTCAAATGGTCTATGATATTTTAGGATCTGGAATTTATGTATAATGTTTGTGATCCTATAACTTAAGTCTTAGAAACTGGTCGCACTCGTAGTTGGGTTGATTGCAGTTTTTCATAGTGCCTATGTCCGCTGCAGATATGCTCTCCTGGAAAAAAAATCCTTAATATTTGGTGCCAGTGTCTGATGGAGCATTAGCAACACAATTCTGACAATGCTGGGAAATTGAAGACACTTCCAAGTAATTTAGTTTAATAGTCAACTTGCATTCTAACCATTATAGCACTCCACAGAATGCATACCTTTCCATCTGTGCAACACCCGCTGTGTTTGTTTATGATCTACCAACCAGTAAAAATCATGTGACTGCATTCACTGATTATGTCTAATGAGCCTTTATGCAGTTACAGTAATTATTATCTGCTGTAATATTTGCCAAAGATATAAAGTAATAAATCCTCCTAAACAGTGTTAAAAGGCAATTTGTTGGTAAACCTCTGATGATTATTTATACAGGTACTCTCTTCCGACTCCTTGCACATGACTGCCATTTTGTGTTATAATACATAACCGAGGGCACTACTATGCCAATATCTTTGTTAGCTACATAGGCATTTTGTATTTTTAATTAAACAGACTGGTGGCCCGGTCAGCAAAAAATAGCACTCAGCTGGCAGATATGGGTAACATATTTTGTGTTTGCATGTTACTATTTTTTTTAAATTCCGCTTTAGGCACCATAGGGTCAAGGATATGGCAAACAGTCAACTTAATCACTCTTGAAAGAGGCAATCCTGTCACAAGATCCGTACACACAAGATACTTTATAAACCTCATTATGAGGCTTAGGGAGTGGGGTTGTTTTGGTCGTGAGAAAAAATCATGTTACCGTGACAGGGATTGAACCCAGGACCATGGGACTGGAAAACAAGCATCTTAACCCCCTCCACTCCAAATCACATTATTTCATAGAGTTAATCCGTACCTGAATATCAAAGGGCAGTGTGTTAATACTAAGAAACAGCAAATGAAACAAGTTCTATATATGACTTTAGATTTGAATGTACAAAATCTACTCTTTGTTAATATTAAGCGAAGGTGATGGTAGACAGTGTAGGAGTGTATAGTTGATTTGTTTGTTATGGTAACTTACCTCAGCAGCTTTGTCAATAGTAGTTGGACTAAGTCCACCATCAACTTCTATATCTAGCGACCTGAATTTGGCCCGTAGTGCTTTAACCTGTGAAGATAACACCACAGACAGATTACAGACGGTTCATTCACAAAAATAGCACTATCTGATATTTACATTATTACCATTTTGTAGTTGGTAGGTTTACTGCTGTTGAATGTGAACATATGGTATTTATATAGCACTTTTAACAATCCACAGATGGACCTATGGACCTAAGAAAAATCTAATTTTTGTATAATGTTATAAAGATTTATAAATATAATACTAAATTGCTAGTTTAACTAAATTTTGACATTCCTAAGCATGAAAAAAATGCAAAATAAGACTGAAATTTGATTTTTTTGTGTTCCATACAAAAAATAAATGCGAATGAATTTTTCATGTTTGATTTTGCAATATGTCGTGCGAAGAAATATAGTAGGCGCCGAAAACATTAGTCTATCCAACACTGCTAGGCTAGGCCTAGCCTTACCTCGATTTAGGTTCTGTTATCATACATAAAAACGGTCGACATGATATTTTCCGTTGCTAGTATTGACACTTGTGAAATATAATATTTCATAGGAATTATTTCAAATTTGTTGAAAAACTGATTCTGACCGAGATTTTGACACTTAAACAAACATATCTCAGGCCTACTTGAACGACCGCATTGTGCGAGATGCGAAGTACAAAAACTAATCCCATTAGAGAGGACGCGATTTATTGACTATATAAAGTATACATAAAAGTGAGAGTATTTGGCCAGCGGATGCGATCTACGACCTCCGAATTTAACGAAGTAACGAAGAATTCGTCGAGAAAATGGTAATATTCTATGAGAAATAGTCTGTATTTCTCATTTTTTAAATTATTTTATGTAAAACTAAAATTTATGCCAATATTTTTCTATGATTTATAATAATTGGAGTAATGCATATGCATCTTTTCTAAAAAAAAAAATCCGTTTTTAGTGAAATTTTGCCGGGAATGGGGCTTTAAAACCTTGAATGGAAGCTCTGGGCTTCTTTTTTTTGGGGGGGGGGGAACCATTGGATGGACTTCTTTTTTACAAGATTGGCCTCTTTTTGAGATTTTGCAAACTTAAAAGTGGGGGGGGGGAGGGGGTTTCTTTTTAAAATGAATGCTGTAAATTTTGAAATTGCTACTATAAAAGATTTTTTTAACTATGGAATTCGAAATTCTGTTTAATATTTTTAAAATGCTAATACAATAAAATACTACTGATACTGACATTCTATCATAATCATCAAAGATAATGTCAATCTGAATGTAAGTACTATCTCGTAACCTGCACGAATGAAGCCCATATTATCTTGATTAGTAAACCATGGGCTCCTTTTCAAGATGGGATTTTTTTCGAGATTAATTTTGCAAACTGAAGAGGGGGCTTTCGAGATGGGCTTCTTCTCGAATTTAAGCCCATGGGGCTTCTATTGGATGTTTTACATTGAAAACAATACACAAAAATACCTTTGGCATCATATCTTCCATGAACTTCTGCCCTCCAAAGCCAGGTTCTACCGTCATCACCAACACCATGTCAACATCCTCCACGTACGGCATTACCACATCAACTGACGTACCTGGCTTGATGCCAATTCCTACCTAAGGAAATTAAAAATGTATTGTGTTTTGTAATATCTGGTACATAAGCTCCTCAAACATGCAATTGCTCATTTAAAAAGATACAATTTCTCAATTCACTAAAGCTCTGCTTACACTTTCAAATTTTCTTTGACAAAAAACTGTTTCATGCCCATATATAGACATGATGTGCCTGTATAAGGTCATGATATGATGTCATCATGACCATATTTAGGCATGTGACATGTTTTTGTCAAATAAAATTTGATATTCCTGACAGGAATTAAGAGACAGATCAGAACAATTCAGTTTCTACTTTTTTACTAAGAAAATTCCTAAATTGATAACCAGCTTTAGAGGTCTATTTAAAGAATTAAATTAAATATTATTACCTCAACAAAGACAATATATCTTTAAATACACAGATTAACTATCCATTAAAGTTTATTAAACGTTACAGGATTTACTCTAAAATACATGTGCCTAGCTACCAATTGCTTTAAGTTCAAACCTACAAGAAAATGAATTTGTTATATCTCAGTAACAGCTTGCAATGACAATTGATTTTGAGTGGAGCTTTTAACTTAGTGGTTAAAATTCTTGAATTTCAATCCAAAACGTCATAGTTCAATCAGGGCCAAAAATGTCATGACCGCAATCCCCAAGCTTTATTTTTTAGCGATTTGGATACCGAACTTGAGGATTATCCCGATTTTCTCACAATTAAAAAAAACTTTTCACTGGTAAATTTGTCTATATAACAATCAGCAGAATGCACAGTGCGAGGTGTTTGTCCTTTTGGGTTGGGTATAATTACTTGAAAAAACAACATTAACATGTACACTCGCAGCTTAAGCCTAGATGGGAATAATGTTTATTTAATGTAAGGAGGCTGGCCTAGGCTACCAACCTCCAATTTTTACCAGGTTTGCTGTTTATTTTTACCGGTAAAATTGAGGGCTAAATCGGCATCAGGAGTATATAAATATATAAATATTGCAATGATTTAATGATATTAAGTACAGTATAACAATGATGGAATTCAAACAGATGATAGTGTTAATAAAGACAATGATGTTGAAAGTAAAAATGACAATGAAGAATATGATTATATTGTTATATACTGTAGATGCTGAATGTAATGATGCAAGTATATGCTGATTGTATCTAACAATATGATCTATATTGATCTGAATGTTACATATAGTGGTCGGTGTTTGATATTGATGTACTACATTATAAGAGTATTATAATGGACCATGAATTTCCAACATATGAATTTCCAATAAAAGTTTATATCATTTAATTTAATTTCTTTAGGCACGAGCGCCAAATATATGCCAATAAATGAACTTAATCGCTGTCCTACATAGCATATTCATTTAACAACAGGGGACTTAATGGACCAGTACACTGAGGTAACCCCCTACTCTTCTCGAAGAATGTACTGGGTTCTTTAAAATGCACATGAGCCAAATGCGTACACAGGGCCTACGGTTTAAAGTCCTTATCCGAGAAGACTTGTTCCACCACCGAACCATTGCGAGTGGGCTGTTCAAACCAGCGATAATATTAGAGCTGAAAGTTAAGTCTGGGGCACCATAACCTTCAGCTCTAATCTTGTCTTTTATATTACTTTCTTTAATATTACAATGTTAAGGTAAATTATCAGCCGACTATCTTGGAGTTGCAGTGACCATTTTCTTAAGTGGCCACTGACTAATGGTCACATATTTTTAAGTATTGTGCTTATCATTTGAATCTTTGGACACTTGATATATATTTTTTCCAAGCCAGAATTCTCTTGCATTTGAATTTGCTACTTGCATTTTGCCAGAATAAGTAGTTGCATTACTCACCTTCATTCCAGCTTCTCGTACTTTACGTATGCACTGCCCTGGATCCTCTGTGGCTTCGATATGAAATGTGTACTGATTGGCACCTGCATCTGCCATATTTTGGATCCACTAGATCGTCAAATAGGGAAAAAAAATCATGAAATCTGAGATAATATTATCCAAATCAATCCAGACTTTGACATATTAGTCATATTACTTATTTGTCTATACGTACCAAACACAAAAGTACTCAGAAAGAGAGAACAGAAAAAAACATGCATGTAAAGGAAATGAAATCTGGAACAGACAACCAGAAATGAAAGAAGCAATGGATAGAAGAAAGACATTTAAAAATAGCTGAAAAGTGAGTTTTGAAAACTTTTTAAAACAAATATAGATTTGCAAATGTGGCAAATAAAAGCCACACCAGTCACTCATCGCTAAAATTGATTTTTAGTTAATAATACAGTGTTCAACAGTAACATGAGAGCTATAAAATGGTAAAAAAATCACTTAAATCCAACATTTCCTTAAAAAGTTACAAGTGTTTAAACATACAGCTGTTTAAAGAACAATATTTGAGAAATCAGCCTTCAAAGTTTATGATTTTGGGCATTTCTCAGGCAGAAACCATCACAAAATCGTTAAAAATTGTTGATTTAACATTGAAAATGGGAAATAACAGCATAGTATGGTGTATAGGTTAGTTTAGTGTAATAAAATAGATTTCCACAAATTTGACATTCCAGCATGTTTTGGCCAATATCTCTGAAACAGGATTTGTGAGTAACTGGTTTGGCTTTTCTACTATATCCACAAATGGATATAGTAGACTTGGTCATTTCAAAGCCTAGGAGAAACAAATCAGTAAGTGCTATCGCTAGGTGTCTTCACACGAAAAGAAGCAGCAGTAAGAATGAATGCAGAGATAGTTACGTAACAGACTTTCTACATTAGTAAAGCCCTGTTCAGACTACAAATTATATTTGACATGCCTAAATATGGCCATGATGACATCACATCATGGCCATATATAGACACATCGTGACTATATATGGGCATAAAACAGTTTTTTTTTTATCAAAGATAATTTTATAATGTGGACAGAGCTGAGTCTAAAACATGTAGAATATTCAGTCCATGTTGCATACTTACACGCTCTGGATTAGCCACCATCATGTGCATATCTTAAAACAAAATGAAAATAATAAAAAAAACCCTGGATATGAAATTTAATGATTTTTAACATTAACACTGCATCTCGGTAGATTAAAAATAAGGCTGTATAAATTCATAGGTAATAATAATATTATAATTAATATTTATTCCCTATGCAATTATTTAAATAATTATATAATTTTCAATCAATATTCTGTCTATGATTTGTCCATTAAACAAAACCACTCACTGTTAAAAAAATGGTAGTATACTC